TTGACCACAGACTCACTGGTCCCTTTCCTGACGAGCCGTTTGAGCCTAGTGGTCCCTACGCAGAGCTTGTGGGTTGCCTCATGTACCTGATGACTTGTACTCGCCCGGACCTCGCCTTAGTGAGAACTAACGCAAACGAACAGGCGAGTAACAACCGGGAGGAAGAGGAATCAGTCGCAGCGGAAGAGCGAGCTAGGGCGACGGGCCAGGGCGTAGTGTAGGGCAACCGGCCAGGGCGTAGGGTAGGGCAACGGGCCAGGGCTTAGGGTAGGGCGACGGGCCAGGGCGTAGGGAAGGGCGACGGGCCAGGGCGGAGGGAAGGGCGACGGGGCAGGGCTTAGGGTAGGGCGACGGGCCAGGGCTTAGAGTAGGGCGACGGGCTAGGGCGTAGGGCAGGGCGACGGGACGGGAGAAAGGGCGGGAGCGACGCGACGGGGCAGGGCGACGCGACGGGGCAGGGCGACGCGACGGGACAGGGCGACGGGACGGGGGGGAACGGGCGGGCACGACGCGACGGGGGGGAACGGGCGGGCACGACGCGACGGGGGGAACGGGCGCGACGCGACGGGGGGAAAGGGCGCGACGCGACGGGGGGAAAGGGCGCGACGCGACGGGACAGGGCGACGCGACTGGGGGGGGGGGGGGGGGGAAAGGGCGCTAGGTAACGGGGAGAAAGGGCGCTAAGCGACGGGGGGAAAGGGCGCTAGGCTCGGTACTAGGCGCGGTAACAACGGAACTGGTACGAACGAGAGGTAGGGTCAGGCTCGGGAGGTACGAACGGAGAACGGAGGAACGGGATCCCACAGGATCCTAACCTAGCTGATACCATGTCAGAATGAGGAATGGATGTTCCATTGATGTTGGTTGGGGTACATATAACAAACCCTAACTTCTGTACCCCCTAAGACAAACCTCACTACAGGCTACAACATTTGACATTCACGTCCCTCTTTTGTAGGCAAAAGAGGGCTCGTAGCGCTTCGGCGCTAGTACCTTTCATGTGTACCCCCTTTCACAATACAAAAATTTAGGAAGTGTTACACTTTCAAACTTTATCATTTCTGTGTGATTTGATATTCATTTCGTTGTTACCATTGGACCCATTCGCTGATAATCCAGGCAGGTTCGACACCTAGGTGACGACGACAACTCTGCTGCAAGACCACTGTGGCATGCCAGCAGGCCAGCATGACACCAACAAGTCATTATTCCACCTTTCCAGCGTTGCAAGAACGACCCGGCTACTCCACATGCAGGCGCAACTCCTTCTCCACATGTGCCTTCACCTGTGCATGCACACCGGCGTGCTCTGGCTGCTGCAGACACTGGCAGGCCGGGTGAGGAAGATGAGCGAGAGGTGCGGGAGAAAGTTGAGGAGGTGGATTGGGAGAGGGATTTCGTGATAGGCGGGCTTGAGCATCGAACACAGAGCGTCACCAAGTTGACTTTTGAGTCGACTCAAAAGTCACCTCGATAGGCGGGCTTGAGCATCGAACACAGAGCGTCACCAAGTTGCAAGCATCGCAACAGCATGGCATGCCATGCCATGCCATGCCATGTCATGTCATGTCAAGTCATGTCATATCATGTCATGTCATGTCATGTCATGTCATGTCATGTCATGTCATGTCATGTCATGTCATGTCATGTCATTCCATGTCATGCCCACCCCATTCACTGCCTTGGAAAGGTAAACGAGTTGGCAGAAAAAACAACAGCAACTACTGACGCCAGCTGAACATGCCGCACTGAACCTCACACCACATGAACACTCTTCCCCCATCCGCCCATTCGCACCGCACACCAGCCCATCTGACACACAAACCTTTCACTAACCTCGAGAAGTTTCTGAAGCAGCTTCTGCGGAATCACCACTTCCTCTACCCTCCCTCTCTCCTCCCCCTTCACCTCCCCCCCTTCCACACCTCTCTGCCTCAACCTCCCTTCCCCTCGCCCCCCATCAACACCCTCCCGCACCCCTCTTCCCCTTCCACCACCACCTCCCCCCTCCGCACACCCCACACCCCTCACAAACGAGTACACTGCCGCAGCGTCTACCGCCCGCTTGTGCCGCACACACGCCGCCAGCACCGCCAGCATCTCCTCCGCAAAAACGGGAGGCGCCGGGCGGGCGGCGAGGAACATCTGTGTCAGCACGAGCATGTCAGCGACGCGCTGGCGACCCGCCAGGTGGCGCGCTAGCAGCATGGCCTCGCGGGGTGACGTGGCAGGCGAGTAGATGCCCATGCTGTGGCCCCACTTGAGCACTCGCAATGCACACTCGTGCCCGTGATACTCCTCCTGCCCCCCCCCCAGCCCCTGCCCCTGCCCCTGCTCCTGCGCCTGCTCTCCCCCCGGCACCTGCCCCTGCTGCTGCCTCTGCACCTGCCCCTGCTCTTGCCACTGCTGCTGCAGTGCGTCTTCCTCACTTCCCCCATCCGCACCCCTCTGCTCCCCCTCCTCCCCTTCAACGTCTAGCCCATCCGCGTCTCCGCCCCCACCCCGACCCGCATCCCCGCCCCCCGTGCGTGCCACGTGGCCGTCCATGTGCATGAGGTGGCGCGCCACCATCGCCACGTCCTCACTCTCCATCCATGCGCGCTGGGCGTTCAGCAGCCGCATGCCATGTGAAGCGCGCATCTCTGCGTACGTCCCCGCCACCCACCGCACCTTCTTCTCGCGCCACTGCTTCCCCCCTCCGCCCTCGCGTGCAGCGCTCCCCCCGCCCTGCCGCTGCAGCCATTTCTCGAACGACGGCGACTCCTCTTCTTCTAGGATCCGCTTGTGCCGCGCGGCTCGCCTCGCCGCCTCTGCCTTTGGGTGGTGCTGCTGCTGTTCCCGCCCTCCGCCACGGCTTCTCCCGCCCCGATCGTTCCGCCCGCCCCAATCGCTCCGCCCGCCCCGATCGCTCCGCCCGCCCCGATCGCTCCGCTCGCCCCAATCGCTCCGCCCGCCACTACTGGTCCGCTCGCCCCAGTCGCTCCGCTCGCCGCTCCCCCTGCCGCCGCGCGGGCCGTGCGGCCGCGCGAGCTGATCTCCCCTGCGAGATGTGCCGACCGCGGCGCTGCGCGCGGTGTCTCGCGGCGGCGGCGGCTCTCCGCTGTACCGGATCCATTCCTCCGCGCGCCGGGTCTCCTCGCGCCAGTCCTCTGCCGCGCGCCGGTGCTCCGCGCGCAGATTCTCCGCCGCGTTACGTCTGGTTTCCCGATTGTACCTGCTCCCCCCCTCCTCACTGTCTCGACTGCGGGGCTTGGAATCCGCGGAGAGGTGCGCGGAAGCACTGAAGCGGCGGAGCGACGGCGGAAGCCCTGTGGCTGGCGGAAGCGCGCAGGAGGAATGCGGAGGAGGCGGAAGCAGCGCGTAATCGGGGGAGGCTGATGTAGGAGGAGCGGTAGAGAGGCGGGAGAGGTTGCGCGTGTGCGGAGAAAACGGCGGAAGAAACGATGGCTGTGAATGGGCGGACGCGCGCAGATGTGGAATGTCGCGCGCAAGCAGACGGTGGTCGTGCGGAAGGGCGGCAGATGGCGAGGGCGGGGAGCGAATCGTGGATCCCGTGGCTGCAGACGGCAGCGCGTTGGACGGCGACGCGAGCAGACGGCGACAGGTAGTGGTGAGACGGCTGATAGCCGACCGCCGACTAGACATGGGACGAGTCGGCGAAACACGAGCTCTCGATTGGAAGCACCCGACACGCCCACCGATCCAGTTCCGGTGCCTTACAGGGCGAATGCTAGGCGCATGGAGAGAGCATTTGGCGCGCAATGGACACACCAGGGCAATGTTCGGCAGCCAGGGGAGGGGGTTTGATGGAGGATCAAAATGGCGAGCCTCCAGGCTCGACCAGTACGAACCAGGCAAAACACTTCGGTCAGGCTAGAAAAATGTGAAAAAAATGTCGAACGTAAGCCTAAAACGCGACGCGAACACCACTCTAGGTGGTAACCCGCGCCGCATCCTCCCCCAAAACCTCCCCCATGGCGGAAAAAATCCGCCCTAGTGCCCACGGAATCCAAATTGCACTCCCGTGAAAGGCCTCACCCACGGGGGATGTAATGGATTCCCTCAACCACGAGATTGTTTTATGATAGTACCCCACACTCTAAACTGACGGGTAAACCGGACATCGGAAATGTATTGGAAAACAGCTGTATTCAATAAGGTCAAATGGGTGAGCACGACATTTAAGACATTCATTTTAATTTATATTGTTAAATGTTTGCGGGGAGTGATATACCCAATCCCATCGCAACAGTAAAATGAGGCAGGGAGAAGAAAAACTGTTCAGCTCGCGAAGTTTCGTTTCGTGCGGCTGCAGTTTCGTGGGCCCCCGATTCCCGCGTCGCTCATCCGCGCATTTTCCCCCAAAGGTTCCGCTTGCACCTGGACCCCAGACTTGGAGTCAACGCTGGTTGACTCTGAGTTGACCACCCCGAACTAGAAACCCTAGCTGAGAATTTCGATTCTTCCCTCGATCCCTCGGTGGATCCCCTGTGCTGCCGAACACGCCCAGGAAATAGGTGGAGTAGCGGTGTGGTGGAGCAAAGAGAATCTCTGCAAAAATCCGGTGAAATCGCGACCCAAAAATGGTGTTTTTTTGCCAGTTTTCGACTTCAGTGGGGTTGATTCCGACGAAGTCAGCTTCCAAACGGGTTTGTACGTTTTAGTACGGTGAAGCTCAACTGTGCTCAAGCAGAACAGTGTGGGTGTGTGTTTGGTTGCACTGGGAAATATCAAACCGAGTTTGCAAAATATCCATAAGAACTACAATCGCGCGTCAGCCTATTTCGAGGATTTTTACATATTGTGCTTGGTTCCCGCCAAAACATGGCTCATTTCTCCCTCGTATCTATTTGAACAGAGCGCGCCAAGCCAACCCAACAGCGTCCTCCTCACCACAATCGAACTCAACAGAATCAATCCCAAGCTAGTTCTAGCAGCCGTGCTCTCGAAGCGCATGAGGTAGTCATGGTAATAGAGGCAGCAGCCTCCGGTTCCCCGCAATGGCCGCCGCATTTCCCGCAAGCAGCCACACTCGGTCGCTGCTCATCATCGTGCTCGTCGCGCTCTGCGCGTCGTTTCTCCTCCTCCCTCTGTTCTCCTCCCAGCCGCCCTCCGAGCGCGGTTCGACACCCCGTTTCGACACGTCATCATCAGTCCCAGCAGCTACACTTCAATTGAACCCAAGCCAACCGTTATTCAGCTCGCAGCAGCTGATTGGCTCGTTAGTCCCGCAAATAGCGCCAGTCGACGTGGCAGTGCCATCCGAACGTCTCGAGGCGCGAGTGAAAGAGCTCCTGGCCGCTTGGGATCCGACACGTGCCATTTCGCCTTCAACTGAAACGGATAGAAAAGGACGAAATGCGAAAAACGGACGGAAAAAGCGGGGGAAGAGCGCGAAGGGGAACGCTCCTGCCAATGCCGCGGAGGAGGAAACAGCTTCCCCGTTAGGCGAATCCGCGAAAGAACCTCTTCCCCCGGCCCCGCCGGTCCCCCGCGCGCCCCATCTGGTGGATTGCGCGGAGCGCGCGAGGCTGCACCGCGAGGAGTGGTGGGCGGCACGGCCTGCGGACGGATCGCTTCCGCCGTGGGCTGTGGCGTGGCAGGCGCGCGATCATGCGTCGCGAGACCCGCGCGCATACGAGATGCTTCCGCGGAGGGAGAGAGCGGTGGACAGGGAAGGGGAGGAGGAAGGGGAAAAGGAAGAGGGGGAGGGCGAGGAGGAGGATGAGGGGGTGAGAGGGAGGGAAGTGAGGGAGAAGGCGGATCATGGTGGGGGCGCAGGTGCTCATGTAGCAACAGCTGCTGCTAGTAGTGTTGGCGCTGCTGCTGCTGCTGCTGCTGCTGCTGAGACAGCTGAACCTTCTTCCCAGCAATTTTCTCTGAGCACGGATGCTGACGTCATAGCGGAGGGGCCGTTTCCGCCATGGGTGGAGGGCGGGGAGGGCGCCAACCTGCCGCTGACGCGACTCGTGCAGACCCACCTGTGGCGCCGCCAGTTCCCCGCCAACTGCTCCCTCCCCCATGTGCGGTGCGCTCCCCCTCCCCCCGTCCCCTCTTCCGCCCATCCTCCCTTCCGCCCATCCTCCCTTCCGCCCATCCTCCCGTCCGCCCATCCTCTACCCCCAATCCCCTCACCTATCCCAATCCCCCATGCAGCGGGCTGTGCTCTCCTGTCCCAACGCCATGCCCTTTCCCCTCCCCTCGCCCCCCTGCCACTGGCGTCATCTGCTCCCATCGCCTCTGTCCCTCCCCTCGTCCTCTCATTGCCCCCTTTTCCCTGTTGCCTTCCCTATCACATATTCCCACGTCTGCCCTGCAGGTTCATGTACGCGGCGTTTGAGCGCCGGCGGCGAGACGGCTTTGAAAAGCAGCTGGCATACATGGCGGCAGCGCTGGGGCAGGCGGTGCAGCAGGGGCGCGTGCTGGTGGCTCGCACTTACGATCGCGCCCAGCACGCGGGGTGTGAAGGGGAGGCGAACGCGCATTGGCACTGCTACTTCCTCCCTGAGACGTCTGATGAGTGCCGCAGGTGAGTGTAGGTGTGGGGTGATAGAAACACTGAGAAGAGGTTACTTGGCGAGTAGTGCTGGTGGTGGCAGCGCTGGGGCAGGCGGTGCAGCAGGGGCGCGTGCTGGTGGCGCGCACGTACGACCGCGCCCATCACACGGGGTGTGACGGGGAGGCCAATGCGCATTGGCACTGCTACTTCCTCCCTGAGACGTCTGATGAGTGCCGCAGGTGAGGTGCAAGGAGGGGTGGGGTGCAGCAGGGGCGAGTGCTGGTGGCGTGCATTTATGACCGTGCTCAGCACGCGGGGTGTGAAGGGGAAGCAAATGCCCAGTGGCATTGTTATTTCGCTTCCTGAAACATCCGATGAGTGCCGCAGGTGAGATGCCGGTGAGGGAAAGGCGGGGCGGGAAGAGGTTGAACGAAGGACCTAATGGGCGTGTGATGTGCTGGTGGTGCGCACTTACGACCGCAGGTAAGGTGGGGGGGAGTTGTGCTTTTGAGGCGCCTCAAAACTCGCAGGTGAGGTGGGGGACGATTGTGGCAGAGGGAAGTGCTTTTCTGGTGTCATTGCCGTTTCGTTCCCACACAAGGGCCTTCTGGGTCGCCACAGCGGGGGACGGCTGCCTCTTTACAATCCACAGGCAGCCGTCCCACACTGCACTCAATACCTCGCCTGCTTCACCCCGCCCTCACTCCGCCTCCTCCCTATCCCTTGCCCCTCTCCCTCATCCCCTCCCACCCTCTCCCCCTCCCCTTACGTTCTCCACACAGGCGGGTGAAAGTGCTATCAGAGCTTCCTTCCAGCTATGTGGGCCCAGACCCCAAGTCACGGGGCGTAGAATCACAGAGGCGCCTCTGCAGGAGTGAATTTTTGAGACGTCATGAAAATCCTCTTCCTCCCTACAACCCCTCTCCACACAAGCGGGTGAAAGAGCTGTTAGAGCTGCCTTTTGAGTCGATTCGAAAGTCATCCTCTTCCTCCCTACAACCCCTCTCCACAGAAGCGGGTGAAAGAGCTGTTAGAGCTGCCTTTTGAGTCGATTCGAAAGTCATCCTCTTCCTCCCTACAACCCTCTCCACACAGGTGAGTGAAAGAGCTGTCAGAGCTGGCTAGTAGCTACACCGGCGCGGACCCCCTTATAGTCACGGGGCATAGAGTCACAGAGGCGCCACTGGAGGAGTGGATTTTTGAGACGTCATGAAAATCCTCTTCCTCCCTACAACCCCTCTCCACAACCCCTCTCCACACAGGCGAGTGAAAGAGCTGTCAGAGCTGCCTAGTAGCTATACAGGCGCAGACCCCCTTATAGTCACGGGCCGTAGAGTCACAGAGGCGCCGCTGGAGGAGTGGGGCGAGGGCGAGGGGGACGAGGGCGACGCTGACGTGGCAGCTGCAGAGAATCCAGCCAATCAGGTCCCATCTGTCGACAGCTCGGCCAATGAGGGTGTAGAAGAAGCGAAACCGGGCAGGACCGGGTCAGCAGCTGAATATTTTCGAGCGGAGGTCCCGAGGGTGTGGGGGAAACCGTGGCTAGATATGGTGGGGCGAGTAGGGGAGCCATGGGGTGTGGGGGGAGTAGGAGCAGGGGAAGAGGCCATGGGGGGGATAGGAGGGGGGGGAGGGGTGGAGGAGGATGGGAGTGGGGGAGGCAGAGGAAGGGACGATGGGGTGAATGGAAGCCGATCGGATCCGAAGCAACTGAATCGGTAAGATGCGAGGAGGAAGATGAAAGAGCGGTGTGTGAGTTTGGTGTTGAGCACACCAATTTCTTCGAAGCACATGATGCATCTTCGACATGATTGTCGAAGATTCTTAAAGGAGCTTTCAAAGGAGTCCAACAACATAATTGTCATTTGCGTGATTGTCATTAGCGTAATTTTCATTACTGTGTTTGTTATTAACGTGATTTTCACAAGCGTGATTGCCACCATCGTTTCTTATCCGAACCCCTCACGTTTCCTTCTTTCCCTCTCTTTGCAATTGTTCCAGCCCTCGGGTTGCCAGGATGGCTGCTCAGCGAAATCGTCACGGAGTGACACGACGAAGGAAATATGGATGGATGGCTCGAATTCATTATCAAGGCAAACTAATTTATCTTGGGAGCAGGAGCACTGAAGAAGAAGGCCATCCATACCCATCTCCACCCAACCGCACCGTCCTAGCCCACGTGCCATGCTGCCCCTTGCGCTGCACTGCACATGCCATACTCACTCCCCTTGCCCCAGGCACAACAAACCCCACAACCAACCCCCTGTCACCCCCCATCCCCCTCTCTCTCCCCACTCTCACCAGGCTGAAGCACCTGTGGTGGCGCGCCCAGGCGCTGCGCTTCCTGCTGCGCGCGCCCTCCCCCTATCTCTGCCACGTCAGCAATGTCATCCGGCACGCTGAGTTTGGGCCAGTGGCCGCACGGATGGCTGCGCTGGGGGAAGCTGCTGTGGCCCACGCTGACGTGGCAGGTGAGGTAGGGAGGGATTGCGATGGGAGGGATTGCACGTGGGAGGAGTGTGAGTGCGTTGCAACTCTCTTGTCCCTCGTGGCTCACTTTTCTCTCTCCTTTCCCTCTCTCTTTTCCCTCTCTCTTTTCCCTCTCTCTTTTCCCTCTCTCTTTTCCCTCTCTCTTTTCCCTCTCTCTTTTCTCTCACTCTTTTCTGTCTCTCTTCGGTTCTCAGATTACAAGCATACCTCTCTTACATCTCTCACATCTCTCACATCTCTCTCGTCTCTGTCGCATGTCTAATGTCTGTTACCGCTCTCAAATCCCTCCCGCTCCACGGGCTTTGCCGAACGTTCTCAGAAACAGACAACAGCCAACAACAGCAGCCAGCGCGAAAGGGAGTGGAGCAGGAGCAAAAGCAGCCGCAGCAGGAGCAGAAGCAGGAGCAGGAGGAGGAGGAGGCAGCAGAGGAGCAGGTGCAACGGCGAAGACTTGTATCGCAGACGGGAAGAGATTGGGCTGCCAGCACTGCCGGCACAGCCAGCACTGCCAGCACTGCCAGCACCGCCAGTCACAGACACAGCCCCACTTCCTCAGCAGATGCTCCCTCCTCTATCCAAGGCACCCCGGGCAGCATGGAGAGTGACCTGTGGCGGCGGCACCGGGCTGTGTGGGTGCCGCGACCGCTGGTGGGCGTGCACGTGGGGAGAGCAGGGCAAGTGCGCGTGCAGACGGCTGTGCAGAGGACAATGGGTGCGCTGCTGGCCGTGAGGCAGCACCTCCCTGCTGCCCGCTTCGTGTGGCTCACTGCTGACGAGCAAGAGGTGAGTGGAGGGTGAGGGGTTTGTTTGTTGTGAGACGACTCAAAGCACGTGGGCAGGGAAGGATGAGTGGGTGTGCAGGCAGGCGTGCAGAGGTCAATGGGTGCGCTGCTGGCCGTGCGGCAGCAGCTCCCTGCTGCTCGCTTCGTGTGGCTCACTGCTGATGAGCAGGAGGTGAGGGGTTTGTTGTGAGACGTCTCAAAGCGCGTGGGCAGGGCAGGGTTAGTGGGTGTGCAGGCGGGGTGTGCAGAACCATGGGTGCTGCCCGCTTCGTGTGGCTCACTGCTGATGAGCAGGAGGTGAGGGGGTGGTTGAGCGGGTGAGGGGGCGGTGAGCCCTGTTCTCCATCCTTACCCCCTCTCTGTGCCACTTGTCTAGGCCGCACACGTTTCTTTCTGCCGCCCATCTCATGCTTGCATGGAATCCGAGAGAAGCCTCCCCCTATCTCCCCACCTCCACTCATCATGAAGCAAATTTCGAAGTCGGTTCAAAAATCACGCAACACTAATGCCTCATTTCCTCATTTTCACATTTTCTTCCCCCTCTGCCCGTCGGCCTCTCCTCTCCTCCCCTCAGCCACTGGATCAGCTAGCAGCAACCCCTGGCTGGACATGGTTCTACTCGCACACGCCCCGCGACTCCACCTCTACTGATCGCCAAGCACTCTTCTCTCCCTCCACTCTCTTCCCCTTCCGCCCAACCACCTCCCTCCCCTTTGTCCACCAGCCATTGGATCAGCTAGCAGCGACCCCCGAGTGGACGTGGTTCTACTCGCACTCCCCGTCTCTCCATCTCCTCCTCCTCCTCCTCCTCCTCCTCCTCCTCCTCCTCCTCCTCCTCCTCCTCCTCCTCCTCCTCCTCCTCCTCCTCCTCCTCCTCCTCCTCCTCCTCCTCCTCCTCCTCCTCCTCCTCCTCCTCCTCCTCCACTCCTCCTCCTCCATCTCTCTACTCCTACTCATCACCTTGCACTCTCCTGTCACTGCCTTCCCTTCCGCCCCTCCCTGCCCACCAGCCATTGGATCAGCTAGCAGCAACCCCCGGGTGGACGTGGTTCGACTCGCACACGCCCCGCCTCTCCTCCTCGTCATCCACAGGAGCAAGCGCCAATCAGCAGCAGGTGCTGCAGAAGGTGGTGGGAGCAGCGTTCACGAACCTGCTGGTAGCCCAGCAGGCCGATGTGTTCATCGGGTCAACCAAGTCTCCTCGGTCTTACCTCATCTACGCGCTCCGCTCTACTTCTGGGAAGCTGCAGAGCAGCTTCTTGGACACGGGAGTATGAGTGCTTGCAAATGTGCTGATACCCCAGCCAGCAGGCTGACGTGTTCATTGGGTCAACCAAGTCTCCTCGGTCTTACCTCATCTATGCCCTGCGTTGCACTGCTGGGAGGCTCCAGGGCAGCTTTCTGGACACAGGAATGTGAGCCTTGACGAACCTGCTGGTAGCCCAGCAGGCTAATGTGTTCATCGGGTCATCCAAGTCTTCTCGGTCTTACCTCATCTGCTCATGATGCTTTGAGCATTTCATGGCAACTTCGCCAGCTGATGGCGCATTCACTAGTGCATCCTCTTTCAACTTTTAGTGACAGCCTCTTCAGCTGATGATGCCATCAGCATTTGATTCATATTTCATCAGCTCATAAATACCCTGTGGGGTTTTCAGTTGCTTCTGATGAGTCCATTGACTCATGTCCAACTCATCAGCTCATAATGCTTGCTGATTTCAGGATATCTGCCAACCAAGCTCACCTGCTCGTGATGCTGGCAGCATCTGGCAAACTCTTCAGCTGATGATGCTGTAGTTTTTTGACCATATCATCCTGAAATATTGTCTTTATTATTTGTAAGATCTTGTTCCCACGACGTCCAAGTTTATTTGTATATTGTAGAGCTATGATGAAAACCGCAGTCTTGAGATGAGGAGGTGTGAATATAAACAGTTTCACGGTTTCAAGTTCTTCTGAAGCTTACATCTGCACCACGTTAACGAATTTGCAAATATCGCATCTCTTGTTCATCTCTTTCTTTCCCGCCACCCTAGGGTTGCGATGCCAGACAGGTTCCGAGTTCTCGGAAGCAGTCTGCTAGAAGCATGCTTGCGAGGCGCGTTTCCCGAGTCCCGACAGCGCGATGCCTTCAGTCACCTTGCAACGCAGGCTCCGTCTCAGTCGCGTTTGCCCCGCCGCTATGCGAGCGACAATTGCACTCTATTGACGATGACGGAACGGAACCATTCGTTGAGCAGCCTTGCTCTCATCTCACGACGGCAAGTCCGTCAAGTTCACCCATGATCCAGTCAACGCACCAGCAGACACCTTTTCTTCGTGGACGAACCTCTTCCTCATGCTCGGGCAGCGGGAGAGCTTAGCGGAAATGCGTCTCGAATCTGTTTTGCGCTGCCCAGAATCCTTGTCGTCCAAAGCGAAAGAGTCGCTGTTGCTGCCGATAGCAGACAAATCGAAGCTCCAAAGGTTCGGCTCCAACCAAACCAAAGCAGATCATTCCCCCCACCATGCGTTTCGGAGTGTTTGCTCTTCTCGGTTCGGGCAGCGGGCTTGCCTCCTCCGGAGCCTCAAGAATTGCTCAGTCGTCAGTCGAGTTTTATCAACTCTTCTTTCTGCCTTGGAACCTCTTTCCCGAACACTACAAAGCCCACCTGTCCTCGTCATTCCCACCACCAAATAATTGCAATCCCGATTTGCCTTTGACTCTCGGTGTAACGTATTGCCCTAACTACCGAGCTAACAACCATCGATCTCTCTCTAAGTCAAATGTTGATAACTTCTCTTGACAAAGGAAGATTGGTGAAGATGGTTGAGTTGGTTGGGATGAAACTTGGTTTGGGTTTGCCAAGCCTCAACTTTGGAGGCTTGGAACATTTCCACTCAACCAAGAGAATGTTAAAGGTTGGAATTCCAACCAATAAAAAACTGCCAAACAATTGTTACAATCTACTCTATCCTAAACACAACCATTGAATGGTTCTAAGTTGAGTTTTTCCAACCCAACACAATTGCCACATAGGCTCCAAGCCTAGGAACCATCCCACCATGGAAACCATGGTTGGGATAGTTCCCCAAGGGGTGTATTGAGGGGGTCTGAGCTAAGCAAGCTGATTCTCAACCTCCCACTCCAACAAAACAATTGGAAATGGGATTATTGGGCTAAGTCTTTTTGGCTCACTCACAAGCTTCCCTACACTACTATTCCAAGTGTTTTCCATCAAAGGCATCAAGAAGATCTTCATCTCCAAGGCTATCAAGGCTAGTTAGAGCTACTATTTTGTATTGGAATATTATAAAAACCCTTGTAACCGCCATTATAATAGCCTTGGGCATTACATTGGTATCTAGAGCAAGGTTCTTCCTTGGCCTTGTGTGGCCATTTGCTACTTGGATATATATATATATATAAATATATATTTTTTGAGGATCCTAGCTTGTGGATCTAGGATTTTATCCAAGGAGCAGTGAAGATTTTGAAGAAATTTCAAGATCTACAAGTGTTTCTTCAAGATCTACAAGTGTTTCTTCAAGATCTACAAAAGCTTCTCCAAAGATCTACAAACTCCAAGCTACAACTACTCCAACTCTTCAATGGAGTGCAAGATCTACAAGGAGCTTCTTCTTCTTCATCAACATAGAGAAGAAACTTGAAGAGAATATTTTCTCTTACCCACCTTTGGTGGAAGACTCTTGATCTACCCTGGGTAGAAGAGTTAATCTTCAGATCTACAAGGACTTGTTGATGATTACTCTTTGCAGTATATCTTGCTCTATCATTGAGGTGATAGAGAGATTTAGCAAACAAGTCAATCTTAAGACATTCTGTATTGGATTATTCTATAAGAGTAATCATATTTCTTTAAGATTATTATAAGATCTGTTGAGATCTCCTCTCCTTAACCAATTTCATGGCTTCTGGTCAAGAGATGGATGCTACTAAGGAGGTGCCTGTTGTTGGCAATGAAGGAGATAGTGCTACTGCTGCTGCTGACATTGATCTCAACCTTGAGGACTTCGTGGTTGACATGGAGATTAATGGAAGTAAAGCTGACATTGAGGCTGATGCTGACAATGAGGATGAGGCTGGCTCTGCTGAGGGTGTCTCTAATGAGACCGAGGACATCGCTGTTAAGCTTCAGACTCAAATCACGGAGCAGAACATTCTCATTGGAGAGCAGCACTGCCGCATCCAGAACTTGGAGGCTGATTCTGTTAAGCTTCAGGCCTTGATTGAGAAGCTGACCAGGGAGGTGCAGACGATTCCTAAGGGAAATGACACCTCCAGCTTCATCTAGGACCTGCAGACCACTCTCCAGTTCGTGCAAGATCAGCTCAAGAAGCAAGAGAAAACACATCTCTGTGCTTCAGACTCAATACAGGGAGATCCGGCGTGGAAACCTCTACCAGCCTGCTCCTGCAGCAGAGCGAGTTGCCAATGCCGTTAACAGCCGTGCTGCACCTGCTGATGCACCTCTTGCTGTTCCTCCTCCTACTGGAGCACGTGCTGAGCCTCCTACTGCAGCAGCAACTGCTTTTGGCTCATGCCCTTCGGCCCTGCCTCGTTTTGTCCATGGCAAAACTGACGTTGAGACTTGGCTCTCCATTGCGGAGGACTTTATGTCCATCCACAATGTGCGTAGCGAGGCTCGCGTGGTCGCTGCGACCCTTGCCCTGTACGACACTACGAGCAAGTTGGTGTATGCCAACAAGCGCCACGCAGAGGCTAATGGCCATCCTTTTGGCTGGGAGGAGTTCAAAGGTGCCATGCTGGCGGCATTCCTGAGTCAGCCCCCGGCTCTCGAGGTGCGCAGCCGCCTGGAGAACATCCAGTGCGATGACCACCCTGTACGCGAGTACGCCAAGGAGTTTGAGAAAACTCTGTCGCTGCTGAAGACTGCTCTTCCTAAGAGCGAGGTCATCCACCAGTTCTTCAAGGGACTCCCTGAGCACATCAAGCGTGTGCATGTTGTTCGTGGGGAGCACCAGTGGAGGACCTACAAGGAGTGCAAGGAGCGGGTCATTGATACGGATGTGAATTTCCGTGCGTACATGACTCACGCTAGTGCTTAGCAGCAGCCTAGTGCCGAAGGCCCTAGGGGGGGTGGTAGCAGGACTCAGGCCCACAGGGGCGGTGGCTCTTGGAAGAGGCCCTATCAGCAGAAGGGGGAATCCTCTGGGACTCAGTCCAAGAGGGCCCATGCTGGGCCTGCCAAGGATCCTCATGATGAGGATAAGCCCCCGGCGGGCTGCCGCATCTGTGGCAAGCTCGGCCACAAGTCCTATCACTGCCGTTGGAGGAAGTCAGTCAAGAACTCCGGCAAGCCCAACCAGGGCAAGAAGCCGGATGGTTCTGGCCCTTCGGGCTCGAAGGATTTTTGGAAGTCCAACTAGGGGGTGGGTACCTAGTTGGTGAGCGAGATCGAGTAGATGAGGCTTATGTCCTTCGTGATGAGGATTTGCTAAAGCTAGAGAAGCTTGCATCATGCAAAATCGCTTGTTTGTATGCCTCTTCTATTAATGAAAGATCTGTTTTTAAACTCGATCATACCCACTTGAAAACATCTCAATTGAATCCTTGAGAGATACATTTTCAATCATCTCTTGCTCATTAAACGAGTTCCAGCAATCATAGATATTGTGGACCGTTGTGTCCAAGAGCATCCGCTCACGTCAGTGGGATTGGTGACTCGAATCGTGAAAGGAGAATTATTCCGCCGCTTTCACGAATGGCATATCCTGGCAACATGGGACAAAGAGCACCACGTCTGGTGGACCAGCTCCCAAAGGTTTGGACGTGCTCACAACAAATTTAGTGTGTACTATCGACCTCCTAAAATTGTTGTCGCTTGTCCCATCCGTCCAAGATTCCAACAGAATCTACTGTTATCTGGACGCATGAATGGGGACAAAGCAAGGATTCTCGTCGATACAGGCGCGTCGGTTTCCCTTGTTGACGAAACTTGGGTCATGAAACGCAACGTCCTCGTTGTAGGACCGTCATGTCCCATCCGCTTGGGTGACGATCGTGTCATTCCAAGTCAAGGACAGACACATATCAACATGAATGTACAGGACTAGAGCGAAACAGTTCGCGTGTATGTCCTACCACTTTTGTCGGGTGTCGACCTCATCCTGGGCATGGATTGGTTGCGAGCCAACGAAGTCATTCTGGACTTTCAGTACAACATTGTCTCGTTCAACAAGAACGGAAAGGCAATCCAGTGGCAAGTCAATGATACTTTGCCCACAGAAACACAGACGCCTGAACGTCCCAGCT